TTTGTTTACTCTAAATCATGATGTCATGTTAAGAGCATATGCATAATTGACGAAAAGAAGGACAATTTACGAATTTTTTATAAAGTTTTGCTCTGAAGTATTCTTTGGAATCTTGATTATGAGTAAAACTCGAGGGCCATTTTATCAAAAATACCTGTATATTCCAAAAATATGAGCTCAAAGTTTTTAAGAAGCAATTTTTAGACTAAACAATGCTAAGTTTAGAGCATATAGTATATAAAAATGAAGGAGGACACCTTGCGAATTTTTTGCTCCTTTTTCCTACGAGAAATTCATTTGAAACTTGCTTCAGACTGATTGATATTTTGAAGTAAACGTCAAAGTTTTTAAAAATGCCTGTAAATGTGATAAAATAAATTCTAAAACATTTTTTAAGCAGCATTTGATTAATCCAAACCATGCAACTTAAGAGGAGTTGAACTCAGTGGCCCCCATCCCCTCCAAGCTCTTGGGCGCATTCTTGGGTAAATTCTAAATCCCCCCCCCCCAAACTATTCGCTTTATTTAGTGTAAAAATCCCCCCCAAGGCTTAACTGGGCGCATCTTGCGCCCACCTTCCCCCCTGAGGGGGCCCCTGGTTGAACTCTGATTCATATTAAGGATTTGGGTTGTAGCTCTTATCCTATAGACGAGAGGTCATGGATCCAAATTGGGTTGAAGTACCACACACCACTTGCTTCTTTTCTTTTATTGTTGTATGTCAATTTGTGTATTCAGCAAGATTTATAAAGAATTATTTTTTCATATACGCAACAAGTTACGCAACATGCGTTAATAAGAGGGATGAAGCACTAGAGATAGCATTGTTAGCACTATATTTAGCACTATACCATCTCATAGTTCTATAGTAAGTATTTTTTCGGAAAAGTAATTTTCACTATAAGGGGTATTCATTTTTGATGCGAATTCGGAGATACAAACAAGAAGGAAGTCTCAACCCCGCCCCGCCCCAAAAGGGGCATGGTGACTATCGTTACTGCAATCCTCGAATCAGTCGGAGGACCCGGCGGTGCATGGACACGAAGTTCCATGGCCCCGAGTCACGCCCGACAAAAAGCAACACAGTCGTTCGGTGGACAGAGGAGGCCGAAAGGGACAATCCCGAGTCGGGTGAGGCGGTGCCATGCTCAGCCGCAGACGACTCACTAGGAGTGTGGCACTGAGAGACAGCCGCCACCCCACGACCCATCGAGGCATCCTCCGACTGGAAGATTCTGAAACCATTCTGAACTTTATTAAAAATTACAATCAAAATAATGACCGACAATCTGTCGGTCTTACAAATAAAATGAATTAAAATGAAAATAACAATTGAAATACAATTTGAAAGCACCCGGAAAGGGTGGAGGACGCCATAGTCAGCTCACAAAGTTTGGGGAATAATCAGTATGAAATCCTGGATCTTAATACTGCAATCGCCCTTTGGTTAGATGGGCACGATCTTTGTCTTGCCATGTGATTAACATTTAGTTTTGAGCCGTATTTTTTGTTTGCGAAGTCGCAATTCACACATTTACTTTTCTTTTTGCACTCATTCATCTTATGCCCCTCTTCACAGCAGTTTGCGCAGTTTTCATTATTCAGACAATCTTTAGCCATGTGCCCGTATGTGTTACACTTGTAACACCTTAAGGGTCTTAGGTATTCCTTGGCCCGATGAACGGACCAACCAATTTTAAGTTTTGTCTTTCTCATAATTTTCTTGAAGACGCTAGGGTCCGTTTGAACAACCCAGTGTTTCCCTTGTTTGCCTTTGATGGAGAAACAAACTTCGAATTTCCCATCGACCATTTCACTATTCTGATCTCCTAATTTTTCTTTGCTCTTCTTTACTAATTGTCTCATCTATATCAAATAAGATGACTCTAGGGAGTCTCATGGCTGGGATTTGACATGTAAAATCTTTATCCAGACCCTGCTCTTCAAATTCTTCTTTGATTTTCCCTGCATCACTCTTAGTCAACGTTCTAATTGCTATTCCGCCTTCTTTTAATTTTTTTATTCCTTTAATTCCATCTCGAAGCTCAGTTGCTTCAATCTTTTCCTTAAGTGACTTTTCCGTTTCCTCAGAGGAGCAAGGCGCTATTGGGCACAAGACTATCACATGGTCTGGCTTCGCACTGGGGACTCCCTTACTGATGCTGCTCTTTGTAATTTCAGCGTAAGTCCTTTTCATCTTTTTTAGTTTTTTTGCAGATTACGTTATTTAAAGCTTCTTGTGCTTCATCCTGGAGCCCCTTAGTGTACGCTAAAACCTCACCTTGACTTTGAAATAAGTCGTTGTAGCTCATGGCAATTTTTGTTAGATCAATCATTTTCATTGCGTCTAGTTTTTCGTTTACGTTTTGGCTGATAAATCTTAAGAATACTTCGTTGAGCTCTTGTGCTTTTTTGGACCACTCTTTTCGAGAAAGATCAAACGACTCCTCAAGGTCCTCCGGGATAGAATCCCCATCCTCAAGATCACTCTCACTCATGATCAGGGCCGGATTTAAGCTTGGTGGGGCCCTAAGCTACTGAAAATGATGGGGCCCTTATAAGTTCAATTCCATTTCTATACACCTAAAGTAAACTGTCATTATTTTTTATTGTTGTGTAGTAACATTATATTATTAAAAAATTTGATAATATTACTTTATTGTTAAATATATTAATTGTGACGAGACTATTATGTAGAACTTTTCTTTTATTGCACATATTTTTTGAACGAGGGAAAAAAGTTACAAAAGAAACACATTTTAAGCACAGAGTAAGCACGGCTGGATTCCAACTCCCATTCTCACGAACACGAGTCCAACGCCCTATCAACCAGGCTATCCCGGCCAAATTTAATAGTTTATTTTATAACAGTCATAGCACAGCCGACCCAATTTCGAGTTTACGAGTACTAATATTCAACTCTGTGGCCTTGTAATTTTGAACCCAATCCGGAAGAACTGTTAGATTAGTACCCAGAGATATTTGTTTTGAGAACTTGAAGGACTTTGTGACCTCGACAGATTTAACATGCACCAGTCACCATTTTATGCATGGGTATTCCTCTGCCGGCTGGATTCCAACTCCCATTCTCACGAACGCGAGTCCAACGCCCAATCAACCAGGCTATCTCGGCCAAATTTATTAGTTTATTTTATAACAGTCATTGCATAGCCGACCCAATTTCGAGTTTACGACTACTAATATTCAACTCCGTTGCCTTGTCATTTTGAACCCAATCCAGAAGACATGGGAACTGCTGGATTAGTTGCCAGAGGTATTTATTTGTTATGAGAACTTGGAGGAATTTGTGACCCCGACAGATTTAACATGCACCAGTCACCGTTTTATACATGGGTATTCTTCTACCGGCTGGATTCAAACTCCCATTCTCACGAATACGACTCCAACGCCCTATCAACCAGGCTATCCCAGCCAAATTTATTAGTTTACTTTATAACAGTCATAGCACAGCCGACCCAATTTCGAGTTTACGACTACTAATATTCAACTCTGTGACCTTGTAATTTTGAACCCAATCCAGAAGAACTGTTAGATTAGTACCCAGAGATATTTGTTTTGAGAACTTGAAGGACTTTGTGACCTCGACAGATTTAACATGCACCAGTCACCATTTTATAC